TACTGTGAGCTATGATAATGCCACTGCACTCCAGTCTGGGAGAGAGACCAAGATTCCTGTCTCTTAAAAAAAATAAGAAATAAGACCTAGTGTGGTGGCTCATGCCTGTAATCCAAGCACTCTGGGAGGCCAAGGTGGGTAGATCGCCTGAGCTCACAAGTTTAAGACCAACCTGAGCCAGAGTGAGACCTTGTCTCTAAAAACAGTGGGGCACTGTGGTGGGTACCTGTAGTCCCAGCTACTCAGGAGGCAGGAACAAGAGAATCACTTAAGCCCAGGAGTTTGAGGTTGCTGTGAGCTATGACACCACATCACTCTACTGAGGGCAACAAAGTGAGACTCTGTCTCAAAAAAAAAAAAAAGTAAGAAAGAAATAGAGGCTTAGTGCAGTGGCTCATGCCTATAATCCCAGCACTTTGGGAGACTAGGCCAGGAGGATCACTTGAGGCCAAGAGTTTGAAATCAGCCTGGACAACATAGTGAGACCACTCTACAAAATAAAAAATTAGCCAGATGTGGTGGCACATGCCTATAGGCTCAGCTGTTCCAGAGGCTGAAATGGGAAGATTGCTTTGAACCCAGGAGTTTGAACTATGATGCCACTGCACTCTAGCCTGGGCAATAGAGTGCAGAGATCCTGTCTCTAAGAAAAAAAAATCATACCAATTGGCTTCACTCATTTTTTGACAAATCAACCAGAACCATGCTCTGGAAAGGACTATGGAATACATGTGTCTAGGTTTTAGTAGGGCATTTGGTAAGGGTGTCGTCTTATCCTGCAGACAAAATGAAGCAATATGGAGTGAATGATGGTTGAATGAAGTGGACTGGCCATCAGAGTTCACCCAGAGGGCAGGCCATGTGGTACCTAAGTTCCATCTTCACTGACATATTGGCCAGGGCAAAACCAGTGTATTAGATGAGGCCACTAATGGAACAATGGTCAGATTCACAGATGACATGAATACAACTGACAGCAATTGAAGATCCCAAGTCTCAACAGAACATAATGATAGTCTGACATGAAAAGAGTATCCCAACTGCACAATTAAGAACAGAATCTGGGGCTCGGCGCCTATAGCTCAACCAGCTAAGGCGCCAGCCACGTACACCTAAGGTGGCGGGTTCGAATCCCCAGCCCGGACCC